TAAGAGGGGTGTCTAAAAGGAGGTGTGTAGAGGGTTTTTATAAAGTGTTTATAAAAGGTGTTTTTATAGGTGTTTAAAAGAGGATATAAAAAGGGGTGTTTTTAAGGGGGGTTATCAAAAGTTTTTTTCGGGTGTTTAAGGGGAGTTTCACAGGGTGTTATCCGAGGGTATAGGGGGTGTTCACGGGGGTTAAAATGGGGTTTTCCGGGAGTCCTAGGGGGTGTAGAAGGGTTTTAAGGGGGGTCAAGGGGTTTCCCGGGTGTTCCCCGGGGTTTAACGGGGTTTTTCGGGTTTCCCGAGGTGCCACCAGATGTCAGCTGGTCCCATGGGTTTCGGGGGGTTTTCCCGGTATTACTAATTTTCCGGGTTTCGCAGGTGTCCCAGGTGTCCCACGGTTTCCAGGGTTTCCAGGTTTCCAAAGTTTTTCTAGGGTTCCAGGGTTCGCCAAGTTCCCCAGGGTCCCAAGTTTCCCAGGTTCGCAAGTTCCCCAGATTCCCAAAGTTTCCAAGGTCCAAGGTTCCCAAGTTTCCAAGTTTCCAAGGTTCCAAGTGTCCCAGGTTTCCAGGTTCCCAGGGTCCCAGGGTCCCAAGGTCCCAGGGTCCCAGGCTCCCAGGGTCCCAGGGTCCCAGGGTCCCAGGCCCCCAGGTCCCCAGGGTCCCAGGGTCCCAGGCCCCCAGGTCCCCAGGGCCCCAGGGTCCCAGGGCCCCAGGTCCCCAGACTCCCAGGCCCCCAGGCTCCCAAGCTCCCAGGGCCCCAGGCCCCCAGGCTTCCAGGCCCCCAGGCTCCCAGGTTCCCAGGCCCCCAGGCTTCCAAGCTCCCAGGCTCCCAGGCCCCCAGACTCCCAGGCCCCCAGGCTCCCAAGCTCCCAGGCCCCCAGGCCCCCAGGCTTCCAGGCCCCCAGACTCCCAGGTTCCCAGGCCCCCAGGCTTCCAAGCTCCCAGGCTCCCAGGCTTCCAAGCTCCCAGGCCCCCGGCTCCCAGGCCCCCAGGCTCGCAAGCTCCCAGGCCCCCAGGCCCCCAGGCTTCCAGGCCCCCAGACTCCAAGGTTCCCAGGCCCCCAGGCTTCCAAGCTCCCAGGCTCCCAGGCCCCCAGACTCCCAGGCCCCCAGGCTCCCAGGCCCCCACGGCTTCAAGGCCCCCGGCTCCCAGGCCCCCAGGCTCCCAGGCCCCCAGACTCCCAGGTTCCCAGGCCCCCAGGCTTCCAAGCTCCCAGGCTCCCAGGCTTCCAAGCTCCCAGGCCCCCGGCTCCCAGGCCCCCAGGCTCGCAAGCTCCCAGGCCCTCAGGCTCCCAGGCCCCCAGGCTCCCAGGCCCCCAGGCTCCCAGGCCCCCAGGCTCCCAGGCCCCCAGGCTCCCAGGCCCCCACGGCTTCCAGGCCCCCGGCTCCCAGGCCCCCAGGCTCCCAGGCTCCCAGGCTCCCAGGCTCCCAGGCTCCCAGGCCCCCAGGCTCCCAGGCCCCCAGACTACGAGGCCCCCAGGGCCCCAGGCTTCCAGG